TAGTATTTTAATTCAATTATGTAGAACAATATAATATATTTGTATTGAGAAACTAAGCGAGAATAGCAAAAGAAAGATGAAGACTAATTGAATAATAAAGTTGAAAGAATTTTTTCTTTTTGTTAACAATTTCCACTTGTTCACGTGCTGGTACTTAAAATCATCTTCTTCTTCAGCAAAAAAATTCGATTTTTTTATTCAATATTCTTCAATTATTAAACCTTCAGAGAAGATGAAGCCTTGAAAAGATCCATAAATACTCTTCTTTACCTATACATTCGTAATTATGGCTTCATCATTTCAAAGAGCTTTAATTAAATCCAATTCTAACTTTTAATAGACAAGAATGGAAACGGTGATGTTATCACTGTAATTATGTAACTATAAAGTTTCTAAAGAAATTGATTTATTGATTAAATTGTCTTGTGAAGCGTCAGGGGTTGGTGTTAATTGATTTGATTTTTTTGTTCTGCTGGATTTTAAGTCAGGGCGTGGCTGGAAATGCTTAGATTACTAAATTGAGACAACATAACAGTAAGGTGATGCATATAAAATTAGTAAATGTTTTGAAAATGACGATTGTGACTCTGATGACGTTTACAGATTGCAACAGAATGCTGATGAGGTCTAATGACACTGTGCAACATATAGTTTGACTGAAGTACGTTCGCATAAAATGTCCAAACATTTTGAAGCTTTTCCAGCATTAATTTAATATTATGTCGAATTGTGTCCTACTTCCTGTGACTGGATATTGTACGTTCCAGTTTTGGACACTTCATTCCATCATCATTCAGTCACACAACATAAAGTCTAGAGATGTTTAAAAAATAACCCCAAAAAATGTTAAATTTTCACTTGAATCAGCAATTTCCGAACATCTGGACATAGTTTTTATTTTAATGCCCTGACATTTCATCAAGTAATGATACTACCCCAATTAAAATCTTCATTTCGATGAAGCCTTACATAAAATAAAAGCCTTTCTGTTTTAAAACGTAAATTTATAGTGAAAAATACGAGTTTCTGTTGAAAAAAGAAATAAGCAATGTAAATTTCCTTTCTTGTCTTGTCAAATGCTATAAAATTTCAAAAATGAATGCTGTCGTAAATTCTGATGAATGAAAATTTCATTTTCTAGGAAAATCATTATTCAAAGTTTCTCATTTAACTCCACAAAGAAGATCAAATTACATTAATTAGTGTTGAGCTGCTCGCGATTTACTTGTTGGATTTTCGATGAAGCATTGAAAATTCATTCGATAAGTTTAATTAAGTTTTTCTTCATATTTTAGTATTTTTTTCGGTAGAACAAAATTTTCAAACTTTTTTGATTAAAAATTGAAACATCCACAAAAATGTTCAATTTTAAAACTTTTCTCACATTTTATTTTGGCTTCTAGTCATAAAATATTCACAAAAAAATTACAAGCTAGCATCATATGATGATTAATATTTAAGTAAACAACCACATATGCATGCAATTTGAAAATTACTTTCTGAAAAGTTTGTCAAAATATGTTATTATCATATGGAGTCTTCCGATATTATTTTCTTATGAGAATTTCTTGCCGGAATGAAAATTTTCAATCAACAAAATCAAAAAATAAGTTTTTTTGCTAGTTTTTCCATAAATTTGTTTTTTTCCGTAGTTTGAATATTTTTGTTCCAATCGAGATTGAAATTTGTATCGTTAACCTCATCTTTTCTTACTGAACACACTCTCGGATGCTTAAATTTGATTTTGTGATCTTAACTTGAAGATTTTGGTGTTTAACTATTGAACCTAGATTCTTTATGTGTCCACTATTGCTACAGCTAATTGAAACTACATTATTTCAAACATTCTTAAAAACAATTTCAATACAACATTAATATTTGTTCAATATCATTGCCAAAGTTACTGGTTTCCAGCACTCGAACGCAAAATGAAAAATAATGGGAGGGAATTGCCAAAAGACAAAGTAGTAAAGTAATATAATGAAATATTTCACAACATCTTGAAAATTTAAGTACTTTTGCACATAAAAATAAGAATCTAACCTATAAATCTACAAGAAGCCAAAGTTATGAAAGAACTTTTACTGTTTTTATATCCATTTACACTGAAATGCTTCCATCATTGAGTGTGAGTGTGTATGTGTGTGAAATCAAGAGAAGGAGAGAATAAGGCAGAAGCAAAAAGCCATAAGCAATGATAGAGAAGAGAAAAATTACAATTGAAAACTTTTGTTTTAAGAAAACGATGGAAGTTGAAATTTTCTTTTTTTTTCTTCCTCTTAACCGTAAATTGCCGTAAATTTTCTTGAACCTATCAACAACAACTTTGTGCATACTTTCTTGGAACTTGTTTGGAAAAGAAATTAAGATAGACGATGGAATTAGGAAGGTTGTTTGGGGGTTAATGCGCATTTTTTAATTGAAATTGTTTTGGCTGGTGGAAAATTGAGGGTATGGAGTGTGTAGTACATCCATTATATAGTCTAAGAATGTGTCTTATTTAAGGATTTTGTTTATAACACTAGAATTTAGATTCAAGTAATGTTGGAGCAGATTGAAGGATCTAGGACTTGGCTGGGAATTGAACCTATGACGTCTGATATAACAGATTCAACCACCAACTATAGCCATTATTATCATATCGACAGATTCGCTTAAACAAGTATCAAAACACACCTCAAAAAAGGACCGACAGACAAGCTCAGCCAGCTCTACAAGCATCCCACTCAAAACTTCTTCTTAACTTAAAAAATAAAAAGAATTCCAAAAGGAAGCGAAAATTGCATTTCAAGACGAAAAAAAAGAATGTTTGAAATTTATGACTTTACTATGTATGTGATGCTTTCATTTCTCAAATGGATGTGTCAGAGAGCAAGAAGTAAAAATATCGTCGAGGCAAAAAATACCTCAAATGAGTTTACATAACTCAGCAAAAAAAAAAATTTGAAATTTATGAGGCGCTCTCGGGTCTACATGAGAGTAAAAAAAATATTTTGAATAATTACCCTTAATAACTTTATGTGTTTGCTCAAACTCCGAATGAAGCATGATGAAAATAGAATGACTTGTATGTCATCATGGGATTACATCCCATCCTGGATCTTTGTAATTGTCATTTAAAGTCAAGCCAACAATTTTCTTTCATTTTTTTTCCTTTGACTGATTCTTTTGATATGTCTTGAGTATTTTTTTTAATGCCGAAGGAATGTCTTTGAATGAAAAAAAAGTATGGAAGAAAAAAAAGGGTTTTAAATTACTTAAAGGCTTTTCATATTGCGTAGGTTTTTGTTGAACTTTTTCTTTATTTGACTTTTAATGCTCATTCATCAAATTAATTCAATTGCTACTTGAGGGCTTCATTCTTTGATGGGATTAAATTATAAACAACCAAATTATTAAATTTTCATTGCTTTTATGGGAAATTTTTGAATAAAAGTAATATGTTAAGGGATATTTTCAGAATTTTGGAATAGAAATGAACACGCTAGTTGTTGAATTGTTAATTTTGTGTTTTCTTGATCCAGAGGTATGGGTGAGTTCGTGGTCAATGTTATTCTAAGTTTAGAAGCCTATCCCTAATCAAATAACCATTCTATCAGTGGGGCCGTTCACTTATGACGTTCAGGGGGGGGTCAGCAAGAAAAGAACAATAGAAATTCCTGGAAATCTATTGTTCTTTTTTGAAAAATGACCGTTAATTTCGGACGTTATAAGTGAACGGCCCCAGTTCCAAAAAGCATTAATTGTAAAGAATCATCCCATGAAGTGCTCCTCTCATCTAGACCATCCCCATCCTTCTGAATTTCAATAACAATTGACCCTATATCATCATTTTTATCACTAACCATCTCATGCTTCATATCTTTAATGCCCCAACCTACATAAACACAATTGAAATTGAAAATAAAAATTCACTAAAAGTTGTTAACCGGATGATCAAGGTATATGCCTTGATAAGATGTTTACATTTGCAAATATCAACCCACACACACACACATACACAAAACCACGAATGAAAAATTTTCTGATTCATTTATTTGCTTTCACTTAGTTTCCTTTTTTTCTGGTCAGCTCAGTGTCGTTTAACATTTCGTTCTCATTTCTCAAGTGAATAAAATAGTCGTTTTGCAATGGACATACACTATAAAATCCAGTCTAGATGGAAGATGGGAAGAGGAGAAAAAAAAAGGTTTCAATTCCTTACACAAATATGCCATTTTCTATTCCTCATTCCCACATATATTATACATATCCCCATTATATTGAGCCACTCAAAAGAGATTTCGACATCTTCTTACTCATTGCTGGAGAAAAAGTTCTATTCTTCTCTCTTTTATGAAGTTGGGTGGCTTAAAGGAAAGAATTTTTATGTTGCCTTTGAAACGATCTTAAAGAAGGTCTCATTTTTAACATTCCATAATGCTGCTTACATGCCATCTCAAATATTTTTTTAAGCTGCAAGATAAATTTGCTTATGCAGTCACTTTTGCCACGTGAACGACTGACTATGAGAGGCATAAAATTGGAATTATTATTATTTGTATTAACCGAGAAGGTTGTGAATAATTTAGGAAAGAAAATCGATTTTCGGCTAAATTTGGTGAGTTTATTGCTTGAACGGTGAAGCTATAAAGCTATAAATTCTGACTGTGGGTCAGTTTTGACGTCAATGGGTGTTGCGTCAATGGTTTTTGTTCTTCGTTACTCATATGCTTGGTTTAGAGTTGGATTTGGATTGAAGATAATTCAGTGAGCAACGAGGTTCTTACTCGATATGGAAGAATAATTGAGGTTGTCAACTGGGAGGGCTTGGTGATGTGTCTTATGTTAAAGATAGCAAAAAACCCATATTACGTCACTATAAATGCTTTGTCCAATCAAACTACAATGAAATGGAAACTCAATAATACACTTATATGAAAAATGCGCTTTATGTCCAAAAACTACATCAAACATTTCTTACTTGCTAATTTTTTATACTCCTTACTCTTTTGTTACAGATTTAACAGTATCAAGTCTCGGTATGGTTCATATTACAATCCCAAATGCTATTCAATCAGGACGGAATGCGATTTTGATGTGCGACTACGAGCTAGAGGGTGACGATCTCTATTCAGTAAAATGGTACAAAGGTATGTCAAAGTTATTGTGCAATTGTGTGTCAAAAAGAAAAAAAAATATATTTTACCCTTTTTTTCACTACTTTATTCCTCAATTCATTCATGATAGGCAAGAGAGAGTTTTTTCGATACACAGCAAAGGAAATTCCTTCAATAAAAACATTTCATTTTCCTGGTATACAGGTCGATGTAAGCTGATTCGTTTCAATTTTTGTTTCTTATTCTTTATTAAGGCACTTTTATTTTGTTATTTTTGTAAATTTTTTTTTTATTCACGGCTCTGTGCTGCAATAATTTCTACCTTTTCTTGATTCGTTTATGGATGCAAAAAAAATGAGGCATAAAAAATTATTTTTTCCTCTTTCATTTGAATAGAGATTGAATATGAAAAATAATGGAAGTGGAAAATTTAATAAGAATAACAGCAAGAGCTCCTTTTTTTGAGGTTGTTTATCTTCATAAAAAGGCAGTGCAATCGAAAACAGAAGGTGAATGATTTTTTCCACGGGCTTTATTGCTAGTCAAGTGAAAAAAAATCTTATTGAGATACTGAGATTTGGTTAATAAGCAATTATTTTTGAGGTTATTTTTGTTTATGATGTATCCAACGCTAATGTAGGACGAGAATTTTAATTGAATGGAAATTTATATCCAGATGAGTTGTTTTCTATGAAAATCAATTTTTCTGATGATGTTAAAGCCTACACAATTGGTTTTTTTGTCTATTGCAGTGCTGGTCAAATGTTGTCCCACGAAACTATCAACTAGGTGCCTCTATGAATGCTCATAATGATGATGCTCAAATCATAATGTGTCATAACACAAATTAGGTTGACCAACACTGGACACAAGTGACTATTGTCATAGAACAAATCAAATTTAGCGTGTGTAAAGCTGAACAATAAAATCTTCAATAAAATTTGTAAAATATTCAGAACAACAATTCAATCAAAAGCCCTTAATTAGTTTTTAATGGAAAAATAGTCAATTTTGATTATTAAATATCAATTATCTTCCCTCCCGCCACCTCAAAATTTAAGCAATGCGATTATGATTTTCGGGTAACAATGAACCACAAAAATAATTACACAAATGAATGTCATTTTAATAGCTCAACTAACGATAATGGCGGGAGGCTCAATTCCCTTAATAAATCATCATTCAATTGATGTTCGAATAATAAAAAGTTAAGCAATTATTTTGATGAGTCATACGAGAGATGGACATTAATCCAATGCATACATTAACAATTGATGACATTGCGGGGGAAAAAGTAATTTGGTTACTAAATTTCAATCTCTACGTGCTTCATCTTGATGCATAAAGTTGACAAGTAAAGGGCGAAAAAGGAGAAGAAGGAATTGCGTCTAAAAACACAATCGAGAAAAAGTAGAAAATTGTTTATTCAGTTCACATATTTGATTCTTGCAAAACACATACACACAATGGTGAACGCATAAAATGTTGGGAAACGGAAAGAAGATACGCAGGGGGTAAATAAATCAGTTGTGAGAATTATTCAAAGAGCTTTTTTCAAGAGTGATAGCTTTATGATATTTATTGGCTGTTGGTTTATATTCTGGGAAGTTCTGTGGAATTCTTTAGGAACATTGAACGATATCTAAGCTGAATAATGTTGGATTCAGACGCCAGGTAGCTCTGTCATAAAGAAGTTGTCTAGCTAATACCCAAAGAAAGAATTAGTACCAGTGATTCCTTGGTGCTGAGACATTTTCACTGTTCAAGGTTTTGCCTGTGTGTTAAGACGTCTAATTTTAGAATCTGTCTGAAACATCATTTTACAGTCTGAACAGATTCTATTCTTGCATAATATAAATTTTACTCAGATTAAATCTGCTTCAACCAAATCGACCTACAGACTAATTTTTGCGTAGGTTTTAAATCTCAAAAAGATAGCTTAGACATTAAGTATGCAAATTTTCACAAAATAAATCAACCCCCTGATATCCCACAAATTTTTTGCGGTCAACATTGAAGGCAAGAAAAATAAAATCCTCAACTAATCCGCATTTTATGTTTGCTTTTCATTTTCTTCCACAACAATACAAAATATATACAAAAAAATAACAATGTGCGTGCCCGTCTATTTGTGTGTATCATCATAATATCGGATGTGTGCGGTAACCCACAGGTACAATCGTCGAATGCGAGTAGAATAGTATTAAACAATGTCGTGCCAGAGATATCGGGGAAATTCTCATGCGAAGTGAGTGCCGACGCTCCATCATTTCAAACGCATATAGTGTCGGGTGAATTACAAGTAGTAGGTGGATATGACTGCACTACCTTCAGAGTCGAACAAAAAGAAATTAATCAAAAATCACATTTTTTACCCCCCAATTTTTTTTAATGACTTAAACATTTAGAATTTCCTGAACAAAGTCCATCGATAGATGACATTAAACAATATTATAATGTAGGAGATTATTTAGAAACAAATTGTACATCGAATTCATCAATACCGCCGGCAACACTTGAGTGGTGGATAAATGATGTGCCAGCACATATTGAACATGCCATAAGATATGATACAGTTGTCGATCCCATATCGAAACGTCAAACTTCCATTTTAGGATTAAGGCTACCATTAACAAATGAACATTTTTATCAAGGCAGATTAAAGGTGAGCTTGATGGATTTAATGTTGATATGATGCGATGCGAGAGAGATATATAAAAATGAAGGCTTTTGGAAGCGATTGAAATGATTGATAATATTTTTTTCGAGATGATTTTTCAATAATAGGGAAGTTTTGATAGTGACGTATGCTTTGCAAGCAATGCCTACGAAGCCTTAGTTACTTAAAAACTTAACCATTCTTTCTGAGAAATTTATTGAAAGATACTCTTCAATAAATTAAAAATTAACTCCTTTCATGAAAACTTTATAAACTCTTCTATTTTTCATGAGAATCAACTAAGCGTTGCAAAACTTGCAAAAATTAACTGGGCGTTAAGATTATTTCCGTTTATTATGAAAGTGTTAATTTGATGTAAGGCGTTGATTTAATAGAATTTCATTTAAGGAAGTTGTTATGCAATTTATTTTATTATATAAACAAATACTTCCTTTAAAAGGCAAAAAAGTTGAATGCCACGTGCTTTGTCCACTTCAAAAAGTTTATTTGCAACAGATTAATATTTTAAGCATGTTATGTTAATTTTTCATCAACTTGTTGTAGAAAAAGATGGCAAAATCAGGCTCCAATAACATTTTAATAATAAAATACATTAGAACCACAGTTAAAAACAATTTTCTATAACATAACCTAACTGTAATCCATATTGGAAAACAAAACAGATTAACATCTACCAACTTCTACTTGGTTCAAACTAAACTTTTCCATTCATTTCACAAAAAACAACCTCGCCGTACTTAAAAGTTCCCGTAAATCATATAAAACTTTAAGACATAAATTCCCAAAGAGCATTTTTAATGAAAAAAGCATGTAAATTGAGATGCAAATTTTCAATCTACTCAACATCGAATTTTTCCTTCATAAACTTTTACGTACTTATCCAAGCTTCAAGTAATTTATGTCTGTATTTTTTTTCAATAAAAACAAGCAAATTCTTGCTTTAAAACTTTTTACTTACTACTTACTATTTATTCCCCTTCATCTCACCTTAAACTGCTGGAAACAAAAAACAATAAATTTTCATTAAAAACTCACCTATCTTCATTTCCTTATTTATTATCATGAGATTTATGTTTAAAAGTTCTCTCCCAAGGTTTTTCTCTCTCTCGCACAGCACTTTTATATTCTCATCTATGCATTTTGGTAATGTTATAACATTTTTCAAATGCCATAATCCGATGTTGTAACATGAAATGGAACGAGAAATATGATAACTAACACCGCAATATTTTATTTCATTTTTCATTTCATTTTCCACTTTTTTATGTGTATCTTTTCATGTTTTTTTCTCTCTACTGCTGCTGCTGTTGCTTTCTACATGATATAATACTTCTGTGTAGCTCCAATGCATCGCAAGGATTTATGATATATATGAGAAAGATGTTACACGATATGTAGAGGAGCAATATCCACGAATACTTGCTAATAGTGATAATGGTGGAGTTCATTTTTCGTTTATCAGTGATAGAGATGCTGCTGGTAAGTCCATTACTTTTAAATTCGTTGGTTGATGAGTGGGATTGGATTTATGTGGATTTGATCGGTTATTATCTTACTTTATTCATGAACCAGAACTAGATTTATGAAGTTGAACTAGTTTTTGTCGGTTGAGGTTTATTAATCATGTGGATATATCTGCTTTAGAAGATATCTTTAAAGGTCAAACGTGTTTTTCAACTTATATAAGCATAATAAATCAGTAATTTACATCAGTTTCATATTGTTTGAGCTGATGGAAGTTTAAGAATCGAACCTTAGAGTTATTGATGCATTTTCAATATTAATATTTAATTTGAAAAGTTTTTGACAAAACCACGTGTTTTTCTTCACCTCGAAAAGTTTTTTGAAATTTTCAATGAGATGTTGAATAGATTATTCATCTTTTTGTTCAAGTTCTTGTTAAAAAAGTTGGCAAAGACATGTACAACTTACTTTTCTTTAGAAAAGATCTTTCAATTTAAAAATAACAGCAATTTTTATTACATAACCCAACTTTCAGCCATATTGAAAAAGAAAACAGATTTTTTGCATAAAACGTGCTACAAATGAATTCTACCTTATCTTTTATTCAAAAAAGGAGCTTTATTCTTCTTTTCCCATCACATTTATGCAGCATCAACTTGGTTTGCAAAGGAATGAGGAAAAAAATTTAAAAACTTTCTTTATTGCTTCGGGATTGCTTGTATCGATTTTTCTCACCTGCATACTGAATAGTTTTGATGCAGGTTTGTATGCAAAAGTATGCAAAAAAAGAGGAAGAGAAAAGAAAATTCAATTTTCAATTTTCCGATTGTCAATTTTTAGTAGAAAAAAAAGTTCCATAAAATTCTTTCGAACTTGCCATTCTTATGCATTGTTTATACATGTTAAATCACAGCAAAATGAGAGAAAAATTGAAATTGAATTTCATCTAAATGATATCAGAATAATTTAATAGCATTCATACCCAAACTTGCTATTCTTTTTTCTGTCAGTGCTTTGATTGCTCGTGCTATGATTTTTATTTTTTTAGAACACTTCTATCCTACATTTTCATGAAATATTCAAAAATTCCCCATTGGCAGTTGCCATTCATTTTTTTTATGTGTCACATCGATTTTTCTCCGTACTTTATTGTCACTTTTGCATCTCTGTGATTCTTTTTTGAGCCTTTGTCAAACGAAATATTTATGAAAATCATCTGAATGACTTTAAATAATTTTTTTGTTCCTGAAAAGTTCCTTTAAAGGGTCACTGATGTCTTTGTTTTATGAGAAAGATATTTAAATAATTTTTTTCTGCATATTTAAAGTTAAAAGATTGAATTTTTTTCTTAGTAGAAGCTTTACTTGAAAAATTTAAATTAGATTTTTTGTTCAGGCAAAATTTAATTTCTGTCTGAATATGTTTAGCCAGAGTTTCAAGAATTGGAAGCTTTATTCTTACGGTGTGTAGGATGTTGTAGTAAAATGTATGTAGTAAAGAAAAAAAATGTTGCAATTTGTGGGTTGATCTTTCGTGTTTTTGTTAAATTCAGTTCACATGGGATTGTGTTGGTGGACTGACAATGGCAAAGCGAGGGTTCTATCATCCAGAGGAAGGCTATTTTATACTATTCATTTCCAAACTAGAATGTGGTCTCGATTGTATCTAGCTTTATGATTAGCATTTCCAAAAAATCATTAAAGGATCTATCAACTGAATTTGACACAAAGCTAAGAACACCCAAACTCAGAGCTATTTAACTCAGTGTATTAATCCTCTCAGTGCAACTTACATTACGTATTGACGTAATGCTTCATAGAGTTTTAATTTTAAATTCCAATTTTAATAATTCATCTCAACTTGCTCAAGTTTCCACCGCCTGACTCTCTTCCTCAGTATTTCCGCTAAAAGTATATCCTTCATGCTGATTTTTATGATGAGATGGAAGCATTCTGCATTGTGGATTGTGAAATATTTCCCTGTAAATAAATATACATGTACATATGAATTCATGAATGTAAAAAAAAATAAATTTATATAAATGCGAGAAATGCCGGAAATGTTTTGTGGGAGGTAGAAAATAATAATTACATTATACAAACTGAAAAATCCAACATTTGTGCTATTCCTAAATTAAGATAAATTGATAAATGACTAAACAATTTTATTCAATAAATGATTTAACCTTCAGAGAAATCAGGCAAAACGCTAACCATTGAATGATTTGGTCATACAAATTTGGATCGCATGTGGAATTTGAAATGGAAAATTTTTCGGATGATTTCTCTTTACAATTTTGCCATTTGTTTGTTGAGGTCGATACTGCAAATATTTTGATTCAATTGTCATATTTTTGCTCTTGAATTATTCAATTTACTTAGAATTTCAAATATTTCTGTGGCTTCCATTAAAGCTATTAATCAATAATTGTTGATAATCTCGCAATTGTTTAATTAAAGTCTACCAATTATTCACACATCGATGGCTATTAATTTCATAATTGTCAAAATTATAAAAAAAAGGTTTAATTACATTTTGTTTGAGTTTATTGTTTTAATTTAATTTAATAAAAAGCCATATTTCATTACATTAACTTATCAAATATGCCATTAATCAATTCCATTAATAAGCGAAATGAATTATTTTAGTTCATGCTGAAAAAATATGAGTTTTAATCCACTCTTGATCAATATTGATAAAATGTTATTAATATATTCATTTAAAATTTTTTATTCAAATAATCGATCTGAAACTACATCATGCAGTGCTTCTCAAACATTATGTACATACTGAATCCTTTTTGAAGTCTCATTTTAAAGTTTACTGCAGTATTCTTAAAGTTCTTGTTAACTCAACGATGTATCATGGATCAAAGATTGAGTAGCACTGTCATAAAGAGCAATGCTTCGAGGTAGAATGTCAAAATCATGAATAAATTGTTACATAAAATATTGAAGTTGAATTTTAAATCTGCTATCAATTTTGTCTCATTTGCATTAAAGAGTTTGAATATGATTTCATGGGATGGATTCGATTAGACGCTGTTTTATTATTTAAAGAGTTGGAAGGTCTTTGATTTATGAACAAATCAGTGATTAGGGTGCTTTGACATAGTGCTTAGCTTAGAAATAGAGTCAATATATGGGAGGGACGAATACAGAGTTAAACAAAAAGATAACCACAAGTAACTTCTAGCAACCAGCTTTATTGACTAGAGCCCAGTCATTAAACTCATCCCTTTAATCCAGACCCTCTCGTTCATGTACACAAGTTTATAAAATCATGAAAAATTACTAAAATGTATTCTCCATTCTTTATCTCAAGCTCCTCTCTTCGTTGTGCTGCAAATATTAAATTCCTTTCCAAAAATGACTTTATAATACGATTATATCAACAAAAAGTATGCTAAGGTGAAAAAGAGTTTTATAGTGTGAATGTCAAAGTTGAGAATCTCGATCATAAATTCTCTTTTATACTTCATTCAGCACTTACCATATAATCCATTTCATAGAAAGTGTCGCAATAAAAAGAAAATTTTCCCGCTTAATGCACGAAATCTACTCATCTTAAAATCACGTACAGAAATTCATCATGAAAGCTCATAAAGTACATCATTAAAATGTGAAAAATGCATCAACTCAAATTAAAATAGATGAAGGAAGAAGGAAGTGAGACACAAAAAAAATAAAAGTCTTCAACGTGACCTGATGCTCCTTTAGTTTCTCATTCCAATTTATTTAATTTGTCCTTCGCTAAGCTTTTATCTCATCTCACGTCGTCTTTCTTTTTTGCTGCTGCTGCTGCTACACATCCACAACTCAAATTGCAAGTGTCAAAGTTCAAAAACAAATGAACAAAATGAAATGGAATAAAAAGGAGCGAAAGAGAAATTAGAGAGGAATGTCAGGGAATTAAGTATGAGACGCCTGACATTAATTAAACTTTTCTTTTGTGTTCATTTTTTTCATACGCTTATCATTCAGCAGCTCCCTGGGTGATGATTTTCTTTTATTATGTTCTTCTGCTGGCTTTTTTTTCTTTGGATATCAGCTCATATGTGGAAAATAAACCATGTATAGTGTATCTATTCAGTTATGTATAGACGACTTGATATTGAGCATATTTTTGTTGTGGTTTTTGGTGCTTGTTTTGTCTGGAGTGGCTGATTCTGAATTAATTTTATTGGATATCGAGATGTTGGAGTGTAATTTGCCGATTGCACAGTTATAGCTTATGGAATAGCCTAGACGATCGGCACACATTGAATTTCATTTAAATGCTTGAAAATTAGAGCCAATTGGCAATTGCTGCCACGAGGCAAACACTTGGCATCCAATTGGAGATGGCTTGCACCGTCTCTGAGACAAGAAAGAGCCGGTTTTTTTTATCCTGTCAATTCGGCTGCCGTGTGGCAAACATTAGTGCCTGACACTCTTGAACTGATCAAATCCACAGCCAACAAATGCGCTTTGCCAACAAAATCCCAAAGAATCTTATTTCCTTAACATTTTCATTTATTCTATCCTTTAATCAACAGGAAAATCTAAGTCATCAGTAATCCAGCATCACAATACACATTTAATTATGCTAGTTCTTTTGTTAGTAATCCATAGCATAGTAAATTATCATCAAATTGAAATTCGTATTTTCGAGTGAGATCACAGTCTTATTGTAACAATAATCATAAAGAGAACAAGTAGAAAAAGAAGGATGTCTTTATGAAATCATGAATTCACTCACACACACACATACAGTTATACATACACATATAGATAATACAAAAGAACACACATTGAGGAAGGATGATGAGAATCGACAATGACAATGAGAAAGGTTGAATCTTTTTTTTTTCGCGAAACAGAAATAAAATAAAGAATAAAATAATTAAATAATTTGTAAATTTATGGAATAAGCATTCAAAGTGAATCTGTGGTTTTATTCTATTGTGAAATATTGTCTCATTTTTTTCTCAATGAAAATAGCTCTTGTATAAAGATTAAAATGGTGGATATATGAAGATGAATGAAAAATACCTAATAAAAGAAAACTGACAAAAGACTTTAATTTTTGTAAAAAAAAAGCACATCAAATGTTTTTATTTTGAATAAATGACTTAAATTTGGTTTTTCAGAATGTTTTAAGAATTTTAGATTTTCAGAATTTCAGATTAAAGTTCACAAATTAAAGCTTAAATAAAAAGAATTAAAGGAATTTGATTAATGTTAAAGCTAAATTATCTTTCAATTTGTGAAAAAACATCAATGCTATTAATTTTGTAAGGAGGTTTCTCATAACAAATTTCCATCTTTGTTACACTGTTAATATCAACTATGCAGTCGACAAACAACATTTGATCCAAAATGTCTTCTTGCTGGATAATATTTGTATGATTTTTAAACAGATTGAATAAAAGCTCATATGACGCAAAGCTGTCGACTGCTTGGTGTAGAAATTTTCCATTCAGAAACATATAATAAATTTCTGAACTTGTCATAATTTTCTCAATTTTACTGGCAATCAGTGAAAAATTGCTTAAAACTTCATAATCATAAAATGTTATTTTAGAAATCTCATTTAAAATTTTTGGAAAAATCATTTTTTGCTCATTTTCGTTTAATAAATCTTCAATTATCTTCCAAAAGTTTTCAGTAGTAAAGAGTGGATCGCCAAGGTATATTGGACTATCAATAGATGATAAAAGTTCTAAAAATTCATTCTTTGTTAAATTTAAAGCCAAATTTTCAAAGTATTTTAAGTCATCGTTATAAATTGTTTTTTCAGTCTCATTTGAAGAATTTCTATTGAAATATTTATATAAAAAATGTTTGCCATATAGCATCACCCCTTTTTGATTATTGCCATGAATAAAGTTATCATATTCAGTAGAATTCAAAAATGTTTTCCCAATCTTTATCGCAAATCCAGCATAACTAAAATCATTAAAAATAAATCCATAATTTTGGTAATAAGTTGGATTATATCTAGCTGTGAAAAGAGTCTCATTTGAATAGACTTGAAGAAGTGTTTGGACAATTTTGGAATCTTTTTTGAAGAAATTACACAAAAATTCAATTACATGAATTTTTTTTGTTCTTAATAAATTTAAAAATAGCTTTTTATACTTTGTTACCATTAAATGTGCAATCTTTTTAGGAAATTTAGTAGTGTGGTTTTCTATAATTGCTACTTGAAGATATGATTTAATAAAATCTTTTATAATATGATGTCCATCTGCTAAGATAATTTTAAAGAATAATTCAAGCCTTAACTCCGCTTCTTCTGAACTCATATCATCTTCATTATAAATATTATCAATAATATATTGAGCAAAGAAAAATTCTCCAAAGGTTTTATGAACAAAATTAATTTTATATCCAACGTCGATGTATAAAATTCCCATTCTAGCTATTTCATCATAAGTTAATTCTGGTGGAATTTCTAAATTCAAAATGCTTAGTTTTTCAATAATATCTTTCATACGATCATCAAGAACTAAAGATTGACTAATCAGTGCATAAATATGATAAAAGTTAATAATGTTAAATTTACGATTTGTTCTAATACATTTTAAGAAATCACTGGCAAAAGGAGTTTTTTCTACCCAAATATCAATCTTTCTCTGGACAAATTTTTCATAAATTTGATAAATGTTTTCAGCGCCATAAGCAAAGTTATCGTTTGAAATTAGTTCCGAAATCATATTTAATACTAAAGGAATTCGTAGATCACCAAAATTATTATTAAATTTTGTTTTAGATTCTAAAGATTGTATTATATGAAAAACTTTTTGAATATATTGATCAATATTTTCTTCTGTAATATTTTGTAATGAAAAATATTTCTTCAAATATTCTACTTGATCATTTTCGTTTAGCGGAACTAATTTATAAATTCTTTTTGAAAAATATTTATCGAATTTAAATTCATCAGTGAATTGAGGTCTTGTGCAGATATACTGGCTATTTCCTGAATGATTAGAAATTTCCTTGAATAGTTTCATTAAAAAGTCGCTATATTTTGGTGAAACTTCATCAAACCCATTCCATAATAATACAATTGAATCTGTATTATACATACCACTAAAAAATACTCTTTCAAATTTGGTTTTTAATCCTAAAATTTCCATTAAAATATATCTTGGACCTCTGGACATATTGTTATCATTATACAATTGTGTAAAGCTTTTAAGATCGATAAAGCAAACCCAAAGATGTGGAAATTTTTGTTTAATTTCCAGTGCTAATTGATTAAATGCTATAGTTTTTCCAGTTCCTGCATCTGATGACAACACAAAGAATATTTCCAGATCTGGGTGTGGGAAAACCCTACTAAAATCAAATTCTTTGATACCATTTTTAAAAAATGAATATTTTCTTCTAACATAAAATTCTGTTTCGTTTAAAATCATCTTGCCAATTCGAAGTTCCATTCCGTTAAAAATATTTTTAATTTCTTTTGTTGTTAGAGTTTCAAGTGTAGCGTTATTAGTTATGTCTTCAAACTTAAAACGACTATTTTGAAATATGAAACTTGATTTTAGTATTTTCCTTTTTAAATTATTTGTCATGTTTTTCCATTCAAGCCAAACAATATCATCTAAATATGTTAGCTGAGGATCATTAAGGTTCAAAACCTTTCCATCTAATATTTTCGAAATTTGTTCGGAAGTGAAATTCGTGTAAACTGTCAATGCTTTCGGATATAAATCTTGTAATTTTACTTCAACACCTTTGTAGCTAACCACTGCGTTTTTGATAACATTTTTATCAGATTCGGATAATTCATCAAATTTATAAACTGGATTGTACAATATGATGGAAATTGTAATTGCTGTTAAAATACCAATTATTGAAAAAAGTGTAGCCGCAATGGATATTTTTTTGAATTTATAAATTTTCTTATCTTTTTTCTGAATTTCTTTTGAAATCCTATTTTCTATCTCTGTTGTCGCAGCTTCTATTTCTGGAACAACTTTGTTCTCATAAAAATCAAACAATGGTTTGTAATATTCACGGGCTAAGTTCAATTTTTCTGGATTATTTTGATAAAAAATACATAAGTGAACAACCCGAACAATTAATTCAGCATGATACATTTTAGAAGGGTAGCAATCATAAACCATATCAATAATATCTTCAATTCCATTATTTGATAAACAATGTTCTGATATTTTCTCAAATTCTTGCATTGTTTTATGATCATTTTTTAAGTATGGTTGAGCAGCATTACAATACGTTAGGTTTACAGCAAAGTGACAAAGTTCATGTGCCATATTTGCTAAAGTTTCGTTCTTAGTTGTTTCATTTAGTAATTGTTTTGCGCCAATATAAATCCTTCCCATAGGATAGAAAAGACCTTGTGTATATGAATCTACTGTTGGATCTGCTGCACTCACCGATTCTCGATTAAAATCAAAAATTATTTTAAAGTTCTTCGAGGCAGCAACAACTATCAAAATATTTTTTACAAGAGCATTTGAATTTAAATTCCTAAAAGCACTTTGAATGATGTCCATTTTCTCTTGAGCATTTATATCGTCATGACAAATAAAAGAATTAGCAAAAAAGATATTAAGATGCTTTTCTGGAGAGTGCTGAGTATATTTGTTGTGAATTTCTCGAATAGCTTTTTTACTGATATCACCAAGTTGCTGAAAAAATTCTTCAGACTCCTCATGTGGACCAAACATAATTTTCCGACTAAGTAGGAACTCGTATGTTTTAATTGAATCACTCAAAATAGCAATTTTAAGTGCTGATTCATTCGATGTATTATAAAAATAACGTTGATTTGGATATTGATCTAAAACTTCTTTAACTTTAGGTACGTCATCGGTTCTTATTGATTCATGGAACGATTCTATTGTTTCATAAAACTCTCGCATTTTTCCTGAACATTGGCTTATATCAAATAGGTCTGGAAACACCAAATTAGCTTGTATTAATTCAAAAATGACATCGTAATGTTGATTTTGCCATGCAAGGTTTTGTGCATTAACATTGTTATTTGGCATATTTGTACTCATTCCTAACTCCACTAAAATTCTTACAATTTCACTTTTTCCATATTTTGATGCCAAAAGCAATAGATTGAAGTTATTAGCATCAGCAAGCAGATTAATCTCGACATTGTAAGCATCACATTGATTTGAATAGCTATCATGAAGTCCTGAAATTTTTTTATTGCTTTATAATATTCTCAAATAAACATTAATTAACAAGTTTGCTTACCTAAATGTTTACTTTGAAGAGACCGAGTCAAAAACTTGACAATAAACTCATACAAGTAATTTTTATTGACTACTGTGATGTCATTTAAATCTTCAAGTGATAAAAACTGATCAAATCTTTCTGACTTCCAATGAATCGAAATAATATCTCCAGACTCGTTTTTAAATACTAATACAACTGATAAACTTTTACATTTTTCAATGGCTTTGTTGAGTTCTGTTGAATTTGGATTAGCGAAATAATTCTTTATTGTAAACTTAAGAACAACAACGTCCTCTCCATCACTTAAATTTGAAGCAAGATCATACGACTCAAAAAAATCAAGTGCACATGAAAAATTCTCAAAAATTCTTATTGAAAATTCTTTAGCTCCAGTTTCAACTCCATATTGAATTGTAACCGGAGTTCCATCTTTTGATTCAACAATATTTATTTCATGATCAATTTCTTTGGAAATATTCGCTTCAAGGTCATCAAGTTTAAACACTGTAAATGAAAAAATTTAAGAAAGAATTAATGAAATGAATTTTTAGAGCTCCGGTCACATTTGTTGACATGCCATTTAATATTGTAAAAGTTATAAAAATAATACTGTAAGGAATTTACATGACTAAGCTCCGTGTATATTTCTAGGTGTAGCACTTCAGTTCATGATTTTGATACTTACAATCATCATTGTTATCCTCTGCGTCTTTTTTCAGGCTTCTTTTCTTAATATAAAATTTAGAATCACCTCTTTTAGAATTTGAAGAACCCATTACTATTCTTCATATAGAAACATTCTTTACTATAACAAAATTTGATCTTTCAGCTTCGCGCGAATATTTAAAACTGATTTTTTTTTTATTTTTTATCTTTCGCGATGGAATTGTGATAATAAAAAACCAGTTTTTTGTCAAAAATAAAAACACGTGTTAACAAAAACTTGTCAAACTAGGCACAATCATCCAAACTTTCATCTACAAGGTCGTATTTGTTATCGTTTATTTTTCTATGCAAAAACCAGCAACTCAATCAAATGGAACAGCACTTTAAGATTCAAAACAATTTCAAACAGATTTAGTAGCTCATTACATCTTAATAACTCATCTTATTGTGAAAACATTTCCATAATTTTGTTCAAAACAGATTTTATACTGCATTATACCAAAATTTTATGGAAATAATTTTTTCTTTTTACTCGCTAAAGTTTTGTAATATTCCAAGTCTTCTTGTCTTTTATGTGCTGTAAACAAGTCTGTGCACTTATTTTCAATTTGAGCCATGGATCGTGTGGATGTTATGTAACTTTTGAAGGAAATGGGGATGAGTTAAGGTTTTGTAATACTTCAGGCTTGTAAGGGAAGGATGTTGGTCCAAAAGGATCGATTCTCAAGTCTACCAAACAATTTCCAAGTTTTCTAAATGTTCTCGAGTTATTTTCAAGTCTTTTAAGCCCTCAATTGTAAGGATTTTAAGTTACATTTATATATTTCCAAATAAGAACCATAGGAACGAACAGAATTTTCCCACAATCCACCTGAAAATCCCATCCACACAAAACCATAAATTCAAAAATAATTTACTAAAGAATGATAAAGTGAGATTCATAAAGATTATAAACGCATGGGAATCATCATATTTTTTTTTCTCTCCTTTTGCCTTTGCATCTATATACAGAAGAGGCTCATTCAACGAGTTGTAGATAAAAGGAAGAAGATATAAATGTCAAAAGGATGAAATAGGAAGCCGAAGAAAATAGTAAAAGTAGGAAAAAAAAGAAACATTTTTTTTGAGGATTTATGAACATTGCCTCGATGTATCATATAGAAAACTTTGTGTTCTCATCTACTTCTTCTTATTATTCATTCTGAAATATATACGATATTCACGGAGTTATGCTAATACACTCAAGACAGAACATGAAGCGACCGAGGAATTCTTTTATCTCGTACACAACTTTTTTTCCTATCTCACTTATTTTTTCCCATTCGCATGTAAACGACACGGAGAAAAAAACCGAGAAGGTGAGTATGAGGAGTTGTTTGCTAGGTGGATTTAGAGTGCATTTACTGGAATTTAGGGCTGATAGGGGGACTAAAGATTATGTAGACTCATATTTACACTGGTTATGGTTTATAGTTCAATATGTCCCGAATGGCACAAGTCGGTTAATCAATCAGAAATCCGGCACCAAGCTGATGTGACTTTAGCATAGTGCTGCATTTAAATCAAAGACAGTAGCATGCCAGAGTCACAGTCAAATAAAAGCTATGTGCTATTCACAATTTTCAATGAACTTTCTGAATCATTAAATAAAAGCTATGTGCTTGCTTAGTTTTAGGACTTGAATCATACATTTTTCAATGGTGTCTAAATCGAGTAAATCGGTAATCGAGACACTGAAGCGTTAGAATTAAATCGCAGCTTTTTAGCTTTTAGGTATCGAACCTCTGAACTCAAGGTAATTTAAAAACTTTCCAAATCACAACCTAGACAAACCTTAAAGCACAGCACATCTCACTTAATTTAAACATATCTCTCTTTTTTTAAAAAGGATAGTAATGAATCCATAGATATGAACGAAAGTATATATCCAGATTTATTATTTATGAATTTCTACAAAACAGCAGAAGTAGCACAGCCGGAGATTTTTTAAGTTTTTTTTTTAAAAAGAAACGTTTTCTTCGTCACAGTTTACAGAATAAAAAGGAAAATATCGAGATTATTTATGGTCGCTGGATGAATTCTCAAGGTGAAGAGTATAAAAGAAAAGACAGAATCATCGCTTAATGATGTCAAATAAAAATAATTTGGATTTTATTTTTTGCATTTAAAATGATTTTGCAGCGGGTTTTTTTTTTTTCATGAAAGATCTGCGATATTATCATTATTTTTATGGAATTAAATGTATATTTGAAAGATGGTTGAGCAAGTGGGTAGGATGCCCAAAAAGGATGGAATATCTGTTGAATAATAAGTCAAGCTTCTCAGACCTTTATTTAATGTTGTCTGATTAGAAATTAGAGCTGAAAAGAGGAGTAATTCTTAAAAATAGGGTTGATATTTAAGTACATGGATGTAATCAGGTAAATCTAACTCAAATACAGACATAGGAATAATTTTTTTCATTCACAGACAGTTTCAGTAGCTCGTGTTGAGTTAAAACTTAGACACATGACTATCTTAATTAATCACCCCTCTTAGGGGCCGTTCACATATGACGTCCAGGGAGAGGGGGGGGGGGGGGTCAGCAAGAAAAGAACAATAGATAGAAATTCCTGGAAATCCATTGTTCTTTTTTGAAAAATGACCGTTATTTTCGGACGTCATAAGTGAACGATCCCTTAAAGGTATCATCAGATTCTAATCAGGTTCAACAAAAGCGCATAATCAACCAGCTACAATCAATTTTCAACAATTTTGCAAGAAAAAGCATCTCCCTTCTCCCTTTATATGCAAGAATCATGAAAATAATTCTTTTTTAATATGATAAGAAAAAAAAAACAGAAAATCATAAGAGGTGGTTTGCTTTAGAACAGACAAAGAGTGATTGGGGTCAGGGAAATAATAGAGATGATGGGAAAAAACACGTGTTTGAAAGATACTTGACTGAGACTGCAAAAATAAAAAGTTGTGTTTTCATAGAATATTCAAATTATTTTTGTATCAAGTTTGTGTTTTATTTCACTTTAGTCTATAAATACAGAACTTGTTTGCTAAAGAACAGAAGAAGAGGTAATATAACTTTGCATCTTATGGATTGAATGGAATAAAGGTAAAGTACAATACAATGTATAAACACGCAAAGGTATGATGACTTTGAAAATATGATCTGAAAAAGGATAGTTGCTGCTTATTGTTCTCTATCGACTGGATATATTCATGTTTTAAAGTTATTTAAACCCAGTGAGCGATACCTTCTTTATTTTATTGGTATTTTGGATGGAGCTATTGGGGTCTTGGAACTAAATTGATGTTTGGTCATTGGGTAATTCATTGTTAATAGAGCCTTACAGCTGCAGGTCATCGTTTTGAAGGAGAAAACACATTTTCAAGTTGAATTGACTCAATTCTCTTGTGAGGCTATCATTAACATCACTAATTCCTGTTTCTGAGCTTAATCAATATAATTTCATTGAATTCAATCGTACTTTCTGTAAATATGAATATTATTTATGAAAGTCTTCAATTTTCTACACAAAAAACCCTTCAAACCACAATGATTCAGAATCGAAAAAAATGTTCAAAAATTCAAAAATTTCATGTTAATTAAACTATGTCCTTTAAATGCCAGATTAAAGATCTTAACTTGAGGCATATCCTATGAAAATATCTCGTCCCAATTTGATGTCTAACTCCAGAAATCATTAATTTAATCTCACCCAAAATTTGTTTACAATTTGTGTATGAAAAAAAAAATATGATTTTTTCTACTTTAAGTTGTTATTTGGATGTCTTGGAAGCAGTTACTAGCTAATTTAAGCTTAGCTTTACATACTAAAACAACCAACTCAATAGAAATCTGCGTATTAAGCCTTAAAAATGGAATTGAAATCTGAGTATTTTTACACTACTTAAACTATTCATAAGTTAAAAAGTCTTCCAAAGACCTCTCTGAAACCTATATAAATCCATTAATTAAGTTAAAATCTATCTCCCATATTACTGAGGACATGCCGTTTGATGCCGTTTTCGAGATATTTGCGATCAAAGTTTACATAAATTTTCATACAAAATTTGATCATGCACAATATTTTTTGATAAACTTTTACAAACTTTTGGTAAAAAATCATGTTTATCCTTTATATTAGGGACTAATTTTTTGAGCAATGAACGAAAACATTATGTAGATGATGCTAAAAGATTCAAATCAAGAGAAATTAACAAAAACTTTCAATTTTCTAATGTGTTGGAAAAATATTGTGCACAAGGAATTTTTGAACATTTTTTCCGAATCTGAATCATTGTGCAAACTAAATTAAAGTACAAGAGCACTGTCTGGGAAATTCAGCATATGCCCTGATACTTCATTTATTCCCATTAATTCAGTGAGTTGCCGAATTTTCTTTATAATTTATTTGTTGCTACTCATAATTTACTTGTAAAAATAAACTTCAGTGCCTACATCCCCCCTTTTCATTCACACTCGATTCCCTCAACAATATCACCATAAAATTCAGGGAAAAAAAGTGGAATCAAGTGAACCTTCATTCACAATACACGTCTGTGTATACAAAGTAAGCGCTTTGAATAAATATTCAAGAGGAAAAAAGGATATGAAGGGAATCAACCATCACCTTCATCTCCTTCATCCTCCATCTCCAAACATCGTCATCATGATGACAATAATCTTGTCAAATATCAAAATGACATTGCTACTTGCTATTCAATGGCATATTCATATATTTGTATACACACAATGAGAACTGTAAAGAAGAAGAGGAGAGAAGAGGAATAAAAAGCAAAGCAGACATTTCCATCGATCAAACATCTTTCTTTTTTATTTTGATGGGTTTTGTGTGCTACTCAATGCCACTTTGCGATAAAAAAAGGAAGAAGAGGAAATTTCTTTGTTATTTTTTTTCTGTGCTGTTTTTTATATACTTTAAGTATTGAAGGTTTTATGGGTGGTTTGTCTGTATCCCTGGAATGAATGGGGTACTCTTGAGGGTCTTACTTAGAATTGTGAATGATAAAAGAGCAGGGTTAGGTTTCAAATAAGCAACATTGCTGCCTTAATGCTTGACTTCTACTAATTTGATAGAATATAGGAAGGTTTTAATGGTCCAACAAGTCAAAGATTCTCCAATTTTCCGAATAAACTCAAACAACTGATTAATTGACTTCAAGTTCCACTTTAAAATTTTTGTTAAGCGCAAAAACTGCGCCACAACTTCCATAGATCCCATTGAACCTCTCTAACATCATTGCCATACTCAAGTATTCTATTGAACCACGGAAAAAAGTCACAAGTTGAAGGTAAAAAAGGGATGAAGCAGGTATAATGGGTGTGAGTGATAAAATGATAGGTTCTCATGACTTACTTTTGTTCAGTAAGCATAAAACGTAGCGTAACAATTTATCATAAATAAAATACTATCTTAGAAGGTGTTGCTCGACGACTCAGGTTTTGAAATTTATATTCACAAACTGAAAATTTATTTCATTTAATTTATCTTCTTATGCACAATGGAAAGATATGACAAAAAATATTAATTGTTTCTTTTTTGTTGCTTTTCCCGTTTCACTTTTTGTATTGTTTGCGTAAGAAATGTATGAATGAATGGTAGTCGTTATATTTGATTGTAGGAATCCTTTAATACTTAGATTATTGATATAATTTTCAATGTTTAAAGGGATTATCATTTCCATGAAATTACATCATGCTTGTAGTCCCATTACTTCTAGTTTTCTTCTTTAAATTTTATTTGTATTTATTTAATTTTCTTGATCTCATTCTTCTTATTATTTTTTGTGCAAACAAACCATTTCATGCGATATTCATAAGAGCAATTTGAAAATAATAAGAAAAATTGTTGTTTGCATACGACAGAAATTGATGCACAATATATTATAAGCTACATATGTACACAATATTTTATTGCTATTTGCTCACATATTATTTTATATTTTTTACTCCCCCATTTGATATTTTGTCGGTGCTTTAACTTTATTTACATTTTTTGCACTTTTGGTATAGGATTTATGGTCCGTAAATAGGGAAGGGAATTGATTTTTTTTTTGTTGAGTTTGACTTGCTGTACAATTGGTTTTTTAAAATTTGAACAACTTTTAACCATTTGAAGTTTAGAATCTAAATTGAATATTACTGGAACCTTTGCAATAATTATTAAAAATTAATTTGAACTTTTAAGCTTCAAAACTTTACCATTTGAAGCTGTGTTCTTTTTCTATTTTAATCATTAACCATGCTTAAAAATTCGTAGCTTCTTCTGTTTTTATTTCAAATTTTAGAATTTATTTAATTTTACTTTGACAAGCTACTGAACAACTTAGCTAGAAAGAAAGCTTAATTTAGTTGCTATGTAGAATCTTATTATCCCGTACTTAGTAGAAATAACAAAAGACTCTAAATCTCTCATTTAAAATTTGGGATAAACAAGAATTCATATCAATGATAAGAGTGACATAAACTTTAATGTTTATATAATTTGCCTAATACTTGAATTTGGGAGTGGAATCAAACCGATGACGACAACGATAATTTTTTTCCCTTACATTTCAGTCTCTATTTTGAAAGAATTTAATGTCATGAGCTGAACATGATAATCTTGCATGTATGTTCGAGAAAATTAGAAATTTTTCTGAATAAATGGAAACGAATTTTGAAAGAGGATATATGAAAATGTTGTAATTTCCGTCTTTAATGCTTTTTATTTGTGATTCAGTCGTCCATTTTGGTGTTAAGGAATTTAGCAGCTGAAAATATTTTGGACAATTTATTTGAATAATATTTGAATTTAATACAGATGACAATGATATTTATTAAAATTGAATTTTTACATTTATTTTATTACAGTTTTAATTCTCAATGGCTGAAGCCAATCGCTGTTCTTTTTCTCAAATTAATCTGAAATGCCACAACTATTTCACACAATATCGACATTAAAATTAAAATAAACACTATCAATAGGCTTATATAAATGTAAATACTAAAATCATCATCATCACATGTTTCCTGAGAATAATCTTCTAAGTTGTTGATGCATAACTGTAAATGTGCATCAATCCGAGTGTATTTAGGTATTTCAGGGTATTCAAAATTTTTTAAAGTTTGACTGTCCATCAATATAAAGTTGAATAATTCTATTTTTCCATAGCAGCTCCAATCGTGTCTACAGAAACTTATTTTATTTAGGAATTTTTGTGAAAATGGAAATTTGAAAAAATGTTTCAATGTTTTATTATCAATTTTATCAATTAATAAAAAGTCATAAAATAAGTTTCCATCAGATTTATGAAATAATGCAAATCTTTTGTTATTTTCTTCAGTCGATGAATAAAAATCAAATAAAAACGCATCATAACTCTTCTCAATAAACTTAAGAAAACGCGATCTTTTGATTATGTTCAACTTATAACTAATTCTTATATTTGAATCATTTTTTATCTCCAGAATCGTGAAATAAGCATTAGGTGAATTTAATGCAAATATGATTGATCCAAAAAGCATCATAAATAATGTTAAGATTTTCATTTTACGACTTGAACTGTCCAGCTGTATACAGCTACTAATGTTTTTCGTGAACATTGAGTTGATTGAGTTGCTAAGAAGAAATTGTAATCAATTTTAATGAATGATTTTCGATGTATTATTGCCTTAGAACTGCCAGGGTGATTGATCCCTCTTGGCAACGTTCCTGGAACAATCGTAATGATCGTATGCTGGTTAGAGTTTGGTTTGTTACAAGTTGCTAAACTATAATTTCTAATTTATATTACAAATTAATGTTTCTTCTATTAAAAATAATTTAAATTTATGGAATTATTGATTGAATAGTGCTGAAATTGGTAAATCACATAGAATCTTCAACTCTTTATAGTATAAAAGTGCTATAATACCATTTCTCTATTTTTCCAACTTCTATTCTTTTTCTGTTCGGAAAAAAACTTCAATTTCTATACTCAATTACAAGTTTTTGTGTCCATCATTCAAATAACTTTTCGACTGCCTTTTTAATCTCAAAAATGATTAATAAACCAATGACGGTACAAAATATCAAAATAACAATTAAAAAGTTATTATTTCCAAATTTGACTGTTCCATTATCACACTCATCTTTTGATCTTGTTCCAACACATATATCAAATTTGGCAAAGATTCGAGAATATTTAATGATATTTAAATTTGAATTGTCAGAATCATTTTGATTATTTAGCAAAGTAAAATTAAGCATTGTTATTAATCCATATAAGTTCACCGGATTCTTAAAGATGTTGATGTCCTTGATGATTCTTGTTGAGAAAGAAAATTCATAGACCTGAAGTTTTGATGTAAAGTTATCAGAAACATCACCTAATATAAACTCATTGCTGCTTTTTCCAGTTTCTTTATCAAAAAATGCAATGTTCATGCCATTCTTGCTATCCACTGTGTAAATGTCATGTAGAAAAATTGTATATTTATCATCGAAACATTGAAGAAAATATGAATTTTCCAGGATATTAAGTTGATATTTAATTTTGGTGGAGGAAAGCTCTTGAACACCAAAAAAGCTGAAATAAACATTTGGCGTTATGATTGATGCAGTCACTGATGATGTTAAAATTCTTAGAATTATTACAAAGATCTTCATTTTTTCGAAAAATTTAAATCTTATTTGTTCACAGAAGTTGCAATAGTTTTTCGAAATTGTAGCTTCTTTTAAACACACTACTTAACACTTAACAGCCAACTATTGTTCTGTTGTTGTTGTTGTTGTGAGTTTTATACTAAAAATTTGAAGTTTTAAATTAAACGATTTTTGGAACATAATTATTAATAGAAGAAAAGCTACTTTTAGAAAAAAAAAAACAAAAAGCAATTCAATTTATTGAATTGAGCTATAAAGAATATTAAATGAATTGAAATCTCATTAAAAACATGATAAACGTCATTACTGAATTATTCCTTCCTGAAAAGCATTCTCATTACTTTATTCCAAATTCAATTTAAGTAAATTACAATAGCTTCATTTTTATCAAATAATACGACATTCAATTCCATTATAATAAATTTATAATATTATTTTTGTAATGAAAAGAGGACTATAAGCTAGGGTGCGGAACTGATTAAATGATCAAAAATGATCAAAGTATGAATAAAAGCGTGAATCAAGCGTGAAAACTTGAAAAATAATTTCATACACCAAAAAGACTTCTTTCAAGGATATGTTGGAATTCCTTGAATCATCAAACTATTGAAGAATCTGGAGAGATTTTAAATGTCTAAGAAATAATGATGACAAGTAATATTTCAAAATACATCTGCATCTTTCTTTCACTTCTAGACATAAACCCGATCGGCACACATTGAAATGTTTGCAACCTGGTATCCGGGTTGTAAGTATAATTAGAACCAAGCGAACCAAGGAAGATACTTCCAACTTGATGCCAAGTGGTTGCCTTGATGCCATTGCGGGTGGCAAACATTTTAATGAATTTCAATGTGTGACGATCGGGAAAGTTTTTAAATCGGAACTGATGAAAGTTTTTAAGAATATCAATAAGACAATAAAAATTCTCTGTGATTATTTATGAACATTTATCAAGGTTAGGGCTTGAAAAGCAATCACTTAAACAGAGTTGATTAACATTCACAAATTTTAATCATGACCACTGTCAAGGCTACGAGCATAAGTAACATCATTAGCACCAAAAATATCACAAAATATTTATTTTCGTCATCAACTTTTAACTCATCATCACATGATTCCAAATATTTATTATTTTTTATTTTGCATAATGTCAAATATGCATCAATTCGAGAGTATTTTGGATTATTTTTTTGCATTATTTTTGAGTTCCATCCACTCATAAGCTTGAAACTTAACAGAGTGATTTGTCCTTGACATTTGCTCTTACAGAACTTGAGTAACAAATAGAGAAATCTGCCGAGTTCGAATCTAAAGACTGTTCTCATTTTGTCATCTAGCATTAGATTTTCGACTGTGAATAGTGGATTGGCTGGTTGCTTTTTTGAAAAAAATGTCAAATTTCTATAGACAAGCTCGTTATCTGAAAACACATCTACTATGAATATGTCCAACTTTTCCTCAATAAATTCCAAAAAATCTGTTTTGTTCCTGATGCTGAGCTTGTAGACGACTGTTTCAGTTGATTCTTTGTATTCGTCAATTATGTTGAAAAATACATTTGATTTTACCTCAAATGATATTACTGGTGTGATAAGCAACAGAACTGTCATGAAAATCTTCATTTTTGTGTCCATCAATTTTAATGTTTTGTTCCTTACTAGTTGAATCGGGATTTATTTCAATTCCTTGAAATTAAATGCTATATTAAGATTTGAATTCCTTGTGTAATATCTTTTGTTCAAAAAAAGGATTAAATTGTCAATTTAGGTAATTGGATGACGAAAGAGGAAATGCATTACAATTATATCTTCTGAACCATTAAATGGACTATTATTGGGTTCCATACATTTTATATTGTCGTAGGTTGATTATAGTGAATAATACATTAAACATAGTTATGACAGGGATGCAGCCATGAGGGTACTGAACAAAAAATTAATGCACCTAATACGAGAACGAGCAGATGACAACCCTAGTTACTGGGGTTCGAGGGACTTAAACGCATTTTTGACGCAGCGATCAGTATTTGACAAGCATCAAAAATTGAATCGATTAAGAATAAATTTGAATTTCTGAACATACGCTTAACAATTTTTAAAGCGATAGAAAAAAATTCAAATTTTTAAACATACTCATCACGTGGTTTTGTTTATAAAATAAAAAATCATTAACTTTAGCATAAATACATGGTTTGAATAATTTTAATCATTCGATGGGCCGATAAATCGATAGTAACGGAGCTAATAAAACGAGCCCGAGCTTTCTACGATGTCTGGTTAAAAAGTTTTTCTTCGCCCGAGCAGCCGAACCACCGAACAAAGTGTAGTATCAAGCTACCTTTTAGAAACAAGTTTCAAAAATGCGCTAAAAAGGAATAAGGAACGGTTGGCTAGTAAAAATAATAATTTTGATTTACGAAAAATAAAAAGACTCTGACCAAGAATGAATAAATACTACATTACTTTGTTGCCGTGAATATATTTTTTTTCTGACGTCTAGACTATTTTCTATTAATCATAAAGGAAAGCTTTTAACAAATGTCAAAATAAATTGAAAACACCCATTGTCAGCTCATTGCTTTGTTGCTGATAATAATGGTATCAATTTCGTATTAAATATAAAGTAATGCTGATCAATTCATTAAATGCTTATAAATCATAATAAAAATTTGACCTCACATCCAGTCACTATCCTGAAGGTTCGTTAAACAGCAACAATGCTAAGTGTTCTGATATTTTCAGTTATCTTTGCTATTCAAGCTTTAGAACCAAATGTTCATTTTTTGTTCTTTAAGAAATTTGAATCATTAAACTACACGAAGATGATTTATCGTCTTTATAAATTTGAAGGTTCCTCAGTTCCATTGGAAATTAATAGATACTTTGACATTGTAATGGAAAATTTAATATCTCACGATTATCGAATAGTTTATGGAGACAAAATCATCTTTAAATCAAATGATGATGATCAATTATTCATAAAAAGCTTAACCAAGTTTGATAGGGCAAAAGATTCTGCATTTAAGAAAATAAATCCAAACGGACAACTGAACTTCAAGTATATCCTTCATTTCCCGGCAACAAATATCATCCAGAAAGTATTAAAGTGTGATCAAAGCACAAGAAAAATTTGGGGCATCTTTTTATGATGAAAACTTATTCACTTGATAAGAATCTAATTATTAGTGGTAAAATCTTTCCATCACGATTTGATGCTTATTTTTATATTTTTGAAAAAGACAAAAAAATGTTTTGTGATGTCGAAAATGATTTGCAGTTGATTTTTGTTATTTATGGATTTTTGGCATTGATAGGTTTGTTTGTTTTACTTAAGATTATGCATTTGTTGTACATAAAGTCGAGGAAAATCATCTTTGGGGCTGTTACTGAAAATTAATAAATATAAATTGTGCTCGATTAAGTAAAAATTTCTGATCAATTTTATAATTTTTGTTACAATTTGAACCTAACCTCTGACCTGCTGATTTTTCCTATGACTTGTGAAAGTTTGAAGAAGGAATAAAGGAATGGAATGTGTGTTGTCATTTAATCCCTTTTTCCTACTTTTCTAGAACTAAGATTGTCTCTAATATAGAACCAATTAGCCACTAAACATTCAAATTATCTTTCATAAGAACGATTTTCTATCAATCATCTAACAATGGTTTACAAAACACAAAGAGATCCAATTATCATGGATCTATATAAATCCTTCTGGAAACCTTAATTTTCCGTCAGTTGATAATCTTAAACTTCACAAAATGAAGCTTTTCCTGATAATAATTTATTTTGTCATGGCTTCAGATGCTTTGCAACCAAATGTTTATTTAAAATACTTCAAAAAGTTTAAATTCGAAAATTATACAAAATTTTCATATCGACTTCACAATTATGAAAATTCTTCAATACAATTTGGATTGAATAAACATTTTGATGTCATAATGGCAACGCTAGTTGACCATAGATATAAGATTGCGTACTCTGATACAGTCATGTTTGAAGCAAAAGACAACAGATCATCGCTAAAACAGAGAGAATTGTTTAGAACAACTGGATTTGAAGATCCAGAATACATGCAAATTGGTTCCACTCCAAGAATAAGTTTCAGATATATTTTGCATTTTCATGCATCAGATATTGTTGAAAAACTTCTTAATTGTAAAATCGGTTCGGGGAAGATTTACGGTAAGTTCTTGATTATTGGTTCTTATCAAGAAGACAAAACTGTGAAAGTATTTAATGTATTCTTTCCATCCCGATATGATGCATTTTTTAAATTTTGGACGAAAAAGGAATCATTTTGTGATGCTGGAGATGATTTTAGGTTTATAATTGTCATTTTTATCTTTTTTGTGATGTTGGCTTTGATTATTTTAGTTGAAGTCATTTGCATGACAAAATCAAGAGTAAGACCATTGGAAATAAGTAATCCAAAATTGAGGACTTTGGCTCTCAGTTTTAAGAAATGAATGTTAAATTTTGAATTTTTAACAATTTATTGAAATGGATTGACTTAACGTTTTGCATGCGCACCTTAACTTTCATCTATATTAAATTGGAAATTACATTCAATATTTTATTATATGTTGATGTTTTTTAGAAATGGACACAATAATTAATAAATTACTTAAATAATATAAAATTGTAACGAACTTTATTTTGAAAATAAGAACTTCGAATTTTTGAAATTCGAAAAATAAAAACCTAGAAAATTCAAAGTTTGAATAATAAGAACTCAAAAATAAAAATTTATGTTTGTTAACATTGGAAATAAAGGTTTTTGAACCAATCTATTTATGAGCACTTCTCGAATGAAAGGCTTTAATTTGTCTTTGTGGAGGAATTTACAGCTTTTTCCTCAAGAACCCCAGGAAGAAGTGGATATTTCAAACACGTCATTTAGGAAAGATTTCTTTAGAGGCCGTTCATTTATGACGTCCAGCGGAACGGGAGGGGGTCAGCAAGAAAGCAACAATTGAAATTCCTGGAAATCCATTGTTCTTTTTTGAAAAATGACCGTTGATTTCGGACGTCATAAGTGAACGATCCCCCCCCTGAACGTTAATAATTTATTTTAATTTGATAAATTTTCATAAAGGTGGAAAATTTAAAAAAAATGTTTTTGGTGTGAATTTGTAAACAAATATTTTTCGTGAACTTTTTTTTAAAAGCAGACGACAGTTAGAATACTTCCTGACACCCTTCCCCCCCCCCCCCCCCATGTTACATTTTGCTACAATTTTTCAAACCCCCCCTCCCCCCTAAAATGCGAACGTAATAAGTGAACGGCCCCTTATCGAAGACTTCATTATTGAAACTCCATTTTCTCTGTGATTTTCTATTGTAAGCATGAGTACTCAATTAGTGTTGTCTTCATTAAATTTGACATTTAAATTCTAAAGCTTTTATAATTTTAAGCTGGTCCACGTATTGATCGCAACAATAGCGCCATAAATGCATTATTAGGAACGTTTTATCAAATGTTATTGAATAAAACTATAAATGGTCTTACTAATTTCACAAAAGAAACAGTCGCCGGCTAAAAGTTCATAAAATGGAAGTTAAAATTCAATTATTCTTTACATTGACATTAATAATAGCTGCAAAAGCATGGAAATCAAATGTTTACTTTACTTTCATCAATAAAACTATTATTTCTCAAAACGTAAGAATTTTATATCATCTTCATCCAAGAGACAACTCATCCACACCTTATGAAATCACTAATCACTTTAACATTTTGATGGAAATGTATATTTTTCAATTGAAAATCATTGGAGGCTGTTTAATCTTTAAATTTAAAAGCAACGATTCCATTATGTGTAGAAGAATTATGTCAAAAATGGATAAATCAATTGATGAGATCGATTCAGCTGATGAAAGACATTTCTTATTTGATCTGAGTTTCGTAGCAACGGACATTGTTAATAAAATTTCAAATTGCAACTTTAGAACTGAAAGAATCGATGGTAAAATTTCAATAAGAAATTATTTTAAAATAATTGAAAATTCAACTTTAAATGACGGAGCTTATCCATCACATTTAGATGGAAATTTGATTTTTTCTGGCCAAAATATCGTTTGTAATTTTTACACTTATTACATTTTTATTGCTTTAACTGCTGGATTTTCAGTAAGTTTTACTTTAATCATTCTACTTGAAGTTTGGAAAATTCTATTTAAACGGTCAGCAAAAGTTAATATCGAAGAGAGTTATTAGACATATGAGCATATTAAAAGCTTTTAAAGGAAAAGGCTGACTTTAACATTTAGGAATCAAAGCTTTGTTCACTAACGTTATTCATTCTATTCTTTGTACCAATTGACTATGTTAATAATAAAATCTAGTTTCAATCGGCTGTATTTAGGAGTTTTGAGGAACTTTCTACGCCACTATCAAGAAATGAAAGCTTTTAGTGTACCAAAAACTAAATTGAGCTCTTTTGTGATCGTCAAACCATTTACATTAACGTCTTTTGAATCAAAGAATTGAGAAATTGAGTAAAAATACTATTGTCATGCATGATTAAGTCATATTATTTTATATATTATTTTTAAAGCATAAATAATACGGTGAAATCTAATAAAATTCACAGTTATTCACATAAAATTCATAGAATGACAAGTAAAGCAATGTTTTTGATATTTTTATCAATTGTGTCAGTAACAGCAATAAAACCAAATATTTGCTTTACATTTTTAAACAAGACGGACTATTTATACAACTCAAAAATTCTCTATCATCTCCATGTACATCCAAGTGCATCTATTCCTTTTGAAATTACAAATTACTTTAATATTTGTATGGACATTTCTGTATCGCATTATAGCATGACAGTTTATGGAGGCACTCTTATAATCATCAATAAAAAGGATTATTCCGTGTTTGCAAGGAGAAGCTTATTCAAATATTATGAAGAAAGTAAGGCTTCGTCAAAAGACGCAAGGAATTTCAAATTTTCATTGCAATTTATTGCAACAGATATAATTGAAGAAGCAACAAAATGTGAATTTCGCTCTAGTGGAATATACAGTAAAGTTACGATAATTGATTATTATATGGAAAATGAGAATTTAACAGTAAACGGTGAAGTTTATCCATCACGATTTGATGCATATCTTGAATTTTCAGACAATCCTGTGAGCGTTTTCTGTATCATGAAAATCAATATGACATTTATTATTGTGAGTTCTGGAATATTTTTGATACTTGCTTTTATAATTTTGAGTGATTTATTAAAATTTATATTTAAAAGATCCACAAGAGTTCATGCTGATGAAATGTATTAACTTATTGTGCTAATTGTTCAATGTCAATAAGGATGTAAGTTCATTTAAGTAATTGAAGATTGAACTAAATTTGAAATTTGTTTTTGTTGCATCAATTTAATTTATATTGTTTTGAATAATTCATTACCTTATCAATCCATTAATTCCTGACGAACATGAATTGACTAAATGAATGAAAAATAATAGTTTCTAGCCAATTGTTCATAAAATAAGAAGCATCAATAATGCTGATTCATCAATTTTAGCTACTCAAGCTTTACAGCCAAATACTTATTTCAAATTTCTTAACAAGACAACATCATCAGTAAATTACACGAAAATTACTTATAGACTTAACACTTATGAAGGTTCATCTATGCCATTTGGAATCAATAATCACTTTGATATTCTGTTTGAATACAAAATTACGAAAAAAGATATCAAAATTTATGGAGAAACGATAACATTCAAATCTAAGGATAGTGATGAGCTAGTTCAAAAAAGTTTAATAAATAATTTCAGATCATTTAATTGTTCATTATTTTTTATAATAACAGATATTATTGAAAAACTTTTGAAATGCAAACTTGACAAGCAGGAAGTTTTTGGAAAATTTTATTTAACTAATTCTTTTATACATCATGAGAATTTGGTGATTAATGGTTCGGTGATTGCATCTGAGTTTGATAATAACTTTGAAATTATTCATCACGAGACAGAACCATTTTGTGATGGTAGAAATAATATTAAATTTATTATTGTAACTTCTGGATTTTCTATAATCCTCTGTTTCTTAATTTTGCTAAAACAGTAAACAAATTGAACATTGAAGATTAATTTCCAAATTCTCGATGTCTTTTAATATATCGATGATCCCATCAGTTCTTCAATTTTTTCCTAAGCGTGGAAACTCAGGATTAATCATGTTTATTGGCTCAGGGATTTTTTTTAGGATTGTTGGGATTTTTCAGGATTAATCCTGAGTTTCAACGCCTTGATTTTTTCAGATAAGCTTGACGATATAATATTTGAAAATTTCATTTTGTTTCTTACCACTTGTCATGAAATAAATCTAATCATTTACTTTTTTGTTGGATCAATTTAATTTATATTGCTTTGAAAGATTAATTTTTTGTTAATCCATTTTTGTGTCACTAGAATAGACCAAATAAAACTATAGTTTCAAGTTGATAGCTCATAAATCAGGTTGCAGCAATGTTATTAATTTCGATTTTTTCATTAATCTTAACAACTGAAGCTTTACAGCCAAACGCTTATTTTGAATTTTATAATATGACTCAATCAGAAAACTATACGAAAATTACTCACCTGCTTAATTTTTATAAAGATTCATCTATTCCACTGGAAATCAATAATTACTTTGATATTTTATTTGAATATCAAATTACTGCGAAATTTTCCATAACTTGTAAAGAAGAAGTTACACTTATATCGAAAGAAAATGATGAGATAGTTCAAAAAAGTTTAATGAACAATGCTGGATCACTCAAACTCAATGAAAAATTGAACTTTGGAAACGTTTTATATTTTAAAGCAACGGATATTATTGAAAAAATTGTAAAATGCAATCTCGAAAAGCGGGACATTTTGGGAAAATTTCATGTGATTAATTCATTGGAAGATGATAAGAATTTAAAAGTTTATGGTGAAGTGATTACATCCAAATTTGAAATTTATTTTGAAGTTTTCGATAGTTTGAAAACACCATTGTGTAATGATCAAAAAAACATTAAATTTATAATGGCATCTTCTGGATTTATTGTGTTCTTCTGTATTATAATTTTGCTTGAATTTTCGAAATTTTTGTTAAACAAAGTAAAAAAGAAGTCATCAAGAGTTCGTGCATTTCATACAGATTCGTTTGAAAATTAAGCAATTCAAGTATTTGAGATTTGATATAAGAATCGCAAGAATATTTTCTTCAAAACTTAATTTATAAAGTTCTATGCATAAAATATTAATGCTTCTTAATAAGCAATCGCAATGATTTGTTCTTTTTATTCAGAATAATAATAAATTCTTCTTTTAAAAGATTTACTTAATCTTCAAATTGATTGTCAATCGTTCAGTTCAATATAAGTCGTTAATGTGTATCGAGTCAAAGGAGAAAAGGCATGAAGATTTTTATAATATTTTTAAAAATCATAACCGCTCAAACAATAGATCCAAATATTTATTTTAAAGTTTATAACAAGTCAGATTCAGAAAACATCACCAAAGTTTTTTTCCGACTCAATTTTCATGAAAATTCATCAACTTTATTTAATATCACAAATCATCTGAATATTTACATGATTCATTACATCAAACAAAGTTTTATTAAAAAAAGATCAGTTTTATTTGTTTTAAAAGAAAATAATTCAGCAGCTTTAGAAGAAAATATGACAATGACAAGTGATGAAAGTACAACTTACATTTTTGATTTTTATTTCAATAATATTCTTAAGTTCTTGTTTAATTGCAACTTATATTCACATCAAATATTTGGAAAATTTTATATTACTGAAGTCCTTGAGAAAGATAAAAACTTTCGAGTTTACAACAACGTATATCCATCATGGTACGAAGCCTATTTTTATATTTACGAAAAAAATGATCAGCAATTTTCAATAATTCATGATAATTTGTTATTTTGTGCAAACGATATTAACATAAATCAAATTTTTATTGCTGCCTGTTTATCAATGCTTTTAATTTTCATAATCTTGTTTGAATTTTTTAATAAAGTCACGGTAATTCGTGGCAGGAGGAGAGTAACTGTAGTCGATAGTTTCAGGTACGCAAATTAAGTTTTGCTTCTGGGCATCGAAAACTGTTGAAAAAAGTTGAAATAATTAAGATTTAAGAGCTAAGTGAAGTTCAAGTGAATTTTTCATAAAATTAAATGGGAGAAGCCCTTAATATAAATTAGAAAACTATTTTTAACCTCTTTAATTTTAATTTCTTTAATATATTTTTACCCCTAAAATCAATAAACTTAATGTAATGACATTGGCCCTTGAACATGACATTCATTAAATATTAAATCAAATAAAATTCTTCACTCAATTTTAATCAAAACTATGAACTTTCTTCATTTTTTTATAAATATTACTAAGTTGTCAATATGCTATTAGATATTAAGAATAGCAATTAATGTAATATTAGAAAGTTTCACTATTTAAGTATAAATGTTAAAGTAAATTCATAATGATTTTTAGTTTAAATTCATTGATTGAAAAGTGAAAATGATAATTTTCAAGATACTCTCAATAATTATAGCAGTGGAAGCACTTGAGCCGAACATATATTTGAAATTTTTCAATCATTCTAAACTATCATTAAAACCAAAATTTACATTTCGTCTTTATTTTTATGATGAGTCATCAGACCTTAGCAAAATAGTGGATTTTTATGATGTTTTAATGGAAATTAATTTATCAACTGAGACAAAATCACCTTTTAACAGTATTTTTATATTTGAGACAAGAAATGTTCCATTTGCATTGTTACGAAAAATTTTATTTCTTTCTTCTGAAGAGAATATTTACTTACCGAATCATAACAATTCGCATGTTGAAAGATACTTTAAGAATATTCTAGAATTTCATTCATCCGATATTGCTGAACAAGTATTTTGTTGTAAACTTTATCGTCAAATCATTAAAGGTCATTTAATAATTACAAATTATTACGTAGAAGATCAAGATCTTAAAGTCAATGGTGAAATATTTCCATCGAAACTGGATGCACACCTAAACATTTTTGGAACTGGAAAGAAAATGCTGTGCGCATATAATTTAAAATTTATTGTTGTCACATCAATATTTTTATTGACGTTTGGATTTTGTATTTTATTTACAATTATAAATTGTTTGATCAAAAAGATAAGAATGAATCGAACAAGAAATTAAGCCGTCTTAATGTTGGACTAAGAACCTTCTATCAAGCAGAGTGTCCTTTGCGGGAGTCATTGTCAGTTGTGTACAGGAAATAACCCTGAATTAATGCGGAGTAAATTATGAAATTCACAAATAATGTCAACACAAGAAAATTGCCTGCCTTACACAAGTTCATGATAGCTTTTCACACATTTTAAGCTTTTTGAAATATTATAAAATATTTTGTGTAGTAATTTGTAGAATAAAGTTGAATTTTAAACAATGCAGAACCTCTTTAATTTCTTATTGCTGGTTTTCGTGTAGTACATTAGTTGATCGATTATTTTGCACATTCCAAAAATTACAGAAGTTACACAAAATATCAAATTAATGCACAAATCATAAATCAAATAAATCATGAATTTAGTTTACATTAAGACTAAATTAATTCAATAATTCAATAGTTGAAGACTCAAGTAACATTCGAACTAAATTAATTCAATTAAAATGAGATGCAGGCAAACTTTTTAAAATTTAATAAAATCCAGTAAACATTCGCTCTAATATAGCAAGATAGGAAAACCAATAGCGTTCAGTATTTCGGAAATTATAAAAACTACAATTTTGAAAATCGAAAAACTGCCAAGAGCCGAAAGTCACCATACGCATACAAACAGAGCAATGCTGATCAAAAATTATTAAAGGGAGCCTCTCATTGGATATGTCCTTAAACATGACATTGAATATGATAATTTGTTTATTATTAAATCGAATAAAATTCTTTGTAACACTTTCAATCAAAGATAGTTGTTTTAGACTTCACTAAGTCGTCAACCGTCATCAATATGCTATTAAATATAAAGAAGAACAGTAATTAAAGTAATTTAAAAAAAGTTGAACCATAAAAAGTATAAATGTTAAGGTAAGATTCATATTGTTCACTAGTTGTTAAGCTTTTACAGATTATTCACTTCAAATGTTTTATTCAGATTGATTCCAAAAGCAAAGTGACATGAAGTTTTTAATGATATATTCGATTATAATAGTAATCGATGCTTTAAAACCAAACATATATTTGAAATTCATCAATAAATCGGAACTATCAGGAAGTCCAAAAATAACATTTCGCCTTTATGTTTGTGACGAGTTTTCAGATCTTTATAAAATTGTAGATTTCTATAATGTTTCAATGGAAGTTATTATATTACCAGAAGACCTAATGCCTTATGAGAGTATTTTCATATTTGAGACAAGAAATGTTCCATTTGCATTGTCACGAAAAAATTTATTTCACACTTCCGAAGAGAATATTTACTTACCGAATTATAACAATTCGCATGTTGAAAGATACTTTAAGAATATTCTAGAATTTCATTCATCCGATATTGCTGAACAAGTATTTTGTTGTAAACTTGATAGCCAAAATATAAAAAGTCAATTAAGAATTATTAATTTTTATGTGGATGATAAAGAATTGATTGTCGATGGAGAAATATTTCCATCAAGGCTTGATGCACACCTAAACATTTTTGGAACTGGAAAGAAAATGCTGTGCGAGTACAATTTAAAATTTATTTTTGTCATTTCAACCTTTTTATTGATGCTTGGATTGTGTATTTTATTTACGATTCTGAATTGTTTGGCCAAAAAGATTAGAAAAATGTCTTCAAAAGTTTATGTTCAGGGTCGAAAGGAGATGAATGAAGGACTTGATAGTGGTGCATGAATTTTGTTTAAGGATTAGTTGCTGCTTTGGAGTCAGTATATAACAGGATATAATCTTGATTTAATCTCGTGTAAACAATAAAACTCACAAAAACGTCAACACGATAAACTTGCTTGCTTCCCACAAATTCATGATGTTTGCTATTTCACGCATTTTAAGTTTATTGTGATATTGTAAAATCTTTTGTGTCGTAATTTGTGGCTTATTGTGAAATAAAGTTCACTTATGTGATGTGTAATAAAAACTATTTTAAAGAAAATTCAGCACATTTTTCATTTTTTTGCAGAGTGAATAAAAAGTTTTATGAAAATGTTGATACAGATGTGAAGGATATATGAGGTTTTATTTTATCATAGACAAGGTGATCTTAAACTTATAAATTGAATTAAATTTCCATTTTCTTAGTGGAAAAGTTCAAAAAATTTACAAAGCAAACACGACAAAACTATCACATCGATTCCCATCCCCTGAGATTTATTTTTACAACCTTTCCTTTTATGTTTCAGATTATCTTTCAATTTTTCCACATTTACTTCCAATTTCATCTAAAAAATCTTGCTTATGCTCTAAATTATCTCCATAAAAATCCATTTTAAAGTAAGTAGCTAAGAAAATATTTGAAACCTTTCTCAATTTTATCGAAAATCTTTACAGATCAGTGAGCTTTAACCTTCACCACGTGTTTCAATTACACCTAAGAAAGCGTTCCTTTCAGATTTAATTTCAGTAATTTCTTCTCAAAATCAATAAATTTAATGCACACATCAAAATGAATCAGAAATTTATCAATCAATAAAACTCATACGCAAAGAATTACTTTGAAAATGTTGAATTATTTTGTGTTTAGATGGATTTTAAGGAATGCTATGGTTGAGTAAGACTGTGCTTGGCTGCAGTAAGGTCATTTTTGGAACCGGGTATCTAGTGTTTCTTGTAAAAGTATTAGATTTTCACTAGATTCAATAACAATTAATTGGAAACTTAAAGATTCAGCGATAAGGCTGCATCCCTGAACTTCACATGCCGTTTCATAAAAAAAAAAATCATAACTCAAATCCAAGGTTAACAAGATTTTATGTTGAGGGCATTATGTTTTTCATTTCTTTATATCCTCTCTCAGATCCTAATCACAATAAGATGAGAGTGAACCATAAACGACAAGCAAAAAAGGAAGCACGAGAAAAAGGATCAAAAGCTTGCTTTCTATTCAAGAAACAAAAGAGAATGAAATTCATTCAAAAGTGAAAGGAGAAAGGAAATAAGAATATCAATCTTATGGAGGCCCTTGGATGGAATTTAGGAAGTTTATGGGTAGGCTTTATATGGATTTTATTTTGGAATTAGAATTTAAGTTGATGTCTGATTTTTTGACTGTTGTGGGTGCTTCCTTAAAGTTAATTTTTGATGAATTCCATCCAAGGGTCCCAGAAAATTGAGCTTTCATTCTTCAGAATTTTCATATATATTCAAGCTCATGCAATGACTATATGTGACAATGTATTATGATGTGTTATTCTTCATGACATCCTCCTTAAGCGCTGTAAAACATGTGTTAAATGCTACACAAGAAATCCTAAAGTGCCGTCCTACACAGAGACATGTGCGATTGAATTCCTTTGAAAATGATTAAAAAGCGTGTGCTCGTGTGTAAGCAATTTTTGTGGCAGATTGTAAGGATCTAAATTAATTGCTAGATACAAAATGATAAATTAAATGGGAATTAATGTATGATTTGACAGTTTATATTTTTTGGGCAATAGCTCAATCCATCTATAGATTAATGGTGGGAGCAATGATATTGAATTTGATTTTTAAAGCTTTTTAAGGGTTAGAACTGTGAGTTGATGTTATGGTATCCATGGATATGGTTCTGATGAAACTTAGTCTGTCTTAACTTCAAAATGTCAAAAAGTCTAGTGATTGGATTAACCGTACTCATTTAAGTTTAATTAATAATCAAATCTGAAAATTGTCAAACTTGTGGAAGTTTCACTAGTTCAAAACCTTAACCTACAGTTTCAGGATTTGAACCTCTCTTTCGAAGACATAGCTTCTTCAAGACCACAAGAAAATGGCAGATTTGCTTCATTTCCTGGATATATAATTCAGAAAATAACCAAGATCCTAGATTTCCGCATGTAAAATGTCAAACGCATCATTATTGAGCACCAAAATCCTGAGCAAGCACCCTACTAGCTCATACTTTAAAACAATTAAGAATCAAGCATTAAGTTCCAACTTAAACGCCTTAAATTATATCATTCATAAAGCAATAACACTAAACATCCAACTAAAGTCTTTCAGTATCCGTTCTCAATTCTACAGAAATCTCTCATGACCTATTTGATATCACAAATATACAATAATTGCTTCTCGGTCAAGTCATGAAGAAGAAAATCGAAACTTTTTTCCTAGACCTTTATTTTCGTCATTTGATTAATCAAAAAAATAGAAATGTGCCTATATCAGCAACCTTCAATGCTCAATCAGTCTTTTCTTTTTATTTGATAAAGCTCGAAATATTTTTTTAGTGTGTATATCGAAAACATTCTTCATCCTTTTTTTTGACTTTTATTATATTTATTTATAGATCAAAACTCACAAGAAAAAATTGAGAAGGAAGCTCATAGACAAAAAAGGAATCAACATCGATGAAAATATATTTATTTTTTTTTTGTTGATAAAATGTAATTTATTCTTCTTTCACTCACAAGACGTATCAGACTTGGCATGTGTCTTTAATTTCCTCATGTTTTATTGATTTCCAGCATAATATCGCTTTCACAATGCTTATATATAGCGAGCAAGCATTTACACAAGGAGGGAGAATGAAAAAAAGTGGAAGAAGAAAAGCAGACATGTCAAAAATTCCTTTCTCGTTTGTCTTTTAACCTACGGGTATTGAGAATGTATTGAGAAAGGAACAGAATATCAGAAGAAAAGGCGGAAAATAAAGGAGATGTTGTGAAATGTTAAATGACATTTTGGGAATAAAAACGCATTTTTATTTTCTTGGTTCTTTGAACTGTGTTTTAATCAGTTATGATTATTTTTATAATGAATATCTCAGTTTGATGGCTGTAGTCTAGTAAAACCAGTGTAATGATTCTAGTTTCGACTGAACTTCACCCAGCCTAGCGACCCTAGTCTATTGAATCTAGTCTAGCGATCCTAGTCTAGCGAATCTAGTCAAATTAATCTAGTCTAACGAACCTAGTTTAGCGAACCTAGTTTAGTGAAACTAGTCTAGCGAATCTAGTCTAGCGAACCTAGTCTAGTGAATCTAGTCAAGCAAAACTAGTCAAATGAATCTAGTCTTGCGAACCTAGTCTAGTGAATCTACTCTAGCGAAACTAGTCAAATGAATCTAGTCTAGCGAATCTAGTCAAATGAATCCAGTCTAGCGAATCTAGTCAAATGAATCTAGTCTAGCGAATCTAGTCTAGCGAATCTAGTCAAATGAATCTAGTCTAGCGAATCTAGTCAAATGAATCTAGTCTAGCGAACCTAGTCTAGTGAATCTACTCTAGTGAACCTAGTCTAGTGAATCTAGTCTAGCAAAACTAGTCAAATGAATCTAGTCTTGCGAACCTAGTCTAGTGAATCTACTCTAGCGAAACTAGTCTATTGAATCTAGTCTAGCGAATCTAGTCTAGCGAATCTAATCAAATGAATCTAGTCTAGCGAATCTAGTCAATTGAATCTAGTCTAGCGAATCTAGTCAAATGAATCTAGTCTAGCGAATCTAGTTTAGTCTAGCGAACCTAGTCTAGTGAATCTAGTCTAGTGAATCTAGTCAAATGAATCTAGTCTAGCGAATCTAGTCTAGCGAATCTAGTCTGGCGAAACTAGTCAAATGAATCTAGTCTAGCGAACCTAGTCTGGTGAATCTACTCTAGCGAAACTAGTCAAATGAATCTGGTCTAGCGAATCTAGTCAAATGAATCTAGTCTAGCGAATCTAGTCTAGCGAATCTAGTCAAATGAATCTAGTCTAGCGAATCTAGTCAAATAAATCTAGTCTAGCGAATCTAGTCAAATGAATCTAGTCTAGCGAATCTAGTCTAGCGAATCTAGTCAAATGAATCTAGTCTAGCGAATCTAGTCAAATGAATCTAGTCTAGCGAAACTAGTCAAATGAATCTAGTCTAGCGAATCTAGTCTAGCGAAACTAGTCAAATGAATCTAGTCTAGCGAATCTAGTCAAATGAATCGGGTGAGGATCATGGGACCGACAGAATAATTCCGCGGAATTTTATTCTGCAGAATTATTCTGCAGAATTTTGTTCTGCAGAACTTTATTCTGCAGAATTTTGTTCCGCTCAAATAATTTTTTTAAATTTATTCTGCAGAATTATTCTGCAGAATTATTCTGCAGAATTTTGTTCTGCAGAACTTTATTCTGCAGAATTTTGTTCCACTTAAATAATTTTTTAAAATTTATTGCAGCTTTTTAAATATTTTTAAATTCAACAAGATTAATTTAAAAACTAATTTCCAAATCAAAGATTTAATTTTTAATATCAATGATCCAAAATGATTTAAAGACCATCAAAAAACAGATCTATAATCGATTGATTGTTAATTCTTTAAGTGCAGGGGTCAAAAAGTAGAGTAAATAAAAAAATTGTTTCAAAAAATACAGACTTAATTATAGTGGCATAGAAAAAACTAATGTGTATAATTAATGGAAAAAAAAAACTGTTTTTTTTTTCCATTTTAATTCATAGTAATATAACGACGAGAAGCACGGGAACGTCGTGTATTACGGCTTCTAGGGTTTTGTTCACGACTACGGGCCGAACGAGGAACTGCTGCACGTCCACGAGATGATAAGTGAGCTGTGATATCGCCTTCATTATTAAGCTCATGGTTTTGATCAATTATATGGTTATTTGTAAGAATCTCATGCATTAAAGGTACTGACGGGACTTGCTGCTCTTGTCGTGGATGTTCATTAACAACCCGCAATTGATCAAGACATGCTGTAGCAAGATCAGC